GGATTGTCTACAAGCTCTCATGGTAGTTGCTTGTAATGACAAATGTTATCTTCTTTTTGGTGCTATTGTTGAAGATCTTCCAAGTAAAAAATGTCATTTTGATTCTTTTTCTTTCCAACATGTGAAGAGAGAATGTAATAGACTAGGTCATAATCTTCACAATTGCAAACCTCTTTCCACTATGGGAAGGCGTCTAGTATGGTATTCTTCCGAGAGCAATATGTACTGATCAATTTCATTAAGCAATAAAGTTTGTCATTTATCAATATATATTAGTGTTGTAATAATTTTAATTAATATTAATTTATTTTTTATTTTTATTAGTAAACATACATGCCTATCACATAATAGAAGGCTTTACCTAAACAACATCTGGTTCCATCATTGTTAATGAGCCAAGGTCTAGATTAGGATCTATGGTCTCCATGTAGCGCGAGCATAGTCCAAAAGGACCTTATGGCTGCTGAACAACGAGCTTTGATGTAGATTGGGTGGCGAAATGTACTTCGTTTAAAATTCAACCAAACATAGGTTTGTTTGTTTGTTTCTTTCTCTCTCTCTCTCTCTCTCTCTCTCTCTCTCTCTCTCTCTTTCTCTCTCTCTTTTGACGGTAAGCAAACATAGGTTGTGTTGGGTGGACTCCCAAGAAGTTGATGTAGAGTGGAGGTTTCGCTCCTTGTGGTTGCTTGATTTAGTCTATGATACCATTGTTGTTTTTGTTGATTCAGTTATAGTTGAAAGAGCAAACGTGTACTATCAATGGAGATGGTTACACAAATTTTCCCTTTCCTCCTTTTTGTTCTTTTCCTTCTTTCCCTTCTTTATTATCCCTTTTCAATTTTGAGCAATTTGAGTAATCATCTTAGTGGGTTCTTGAATTTGAATAAAAAACATGAATTTATGTAATGGTAGCCCTACCACTTAACCGCCAAAAAAACGTATTGATGTTCTTCTTTTGGTATTCATGGGTGGGTGATAGTTTTTGCACATTTCAAGATTAATTTTTCTTCTAAAGATCTTAGGTCAAAACATGTATTTGACTCATTACCTTATTATTTTATTAAGTTTGAAATTGTTAGCCCATTACCTAATACTATAGAGTTTTTAGCCTTTAAATTTGAAAGTTCGAAGATTTAAATCCCTAAACCAATATAATAAGATAACTCTTCTTTAAGATGAGAATAAAAAGATTCTAATGCTAGTCCTCAAAAATTAAAATGGTAACAGGTTAATTCTAAAAATTTAAAAGTTAAAAAAAAAACTAGTGAACTAAAAAGAATTAAGGGATAACTTTGCCACATATATGAGTACCATATAAATATCTGTAATTAAATTGAGCGATTAGCTCAATATAAAGAAAGAATTGTAATTGAGATTAAAAAAAATTTCTTGGTTGAGTTAAAACAAAAAAATTTTAAGGATAAACCTAAATTAATGATAAAAGTGTACAATTATATAATCATGTCAAATTTCTTGGCCTAACTACTCTTAATGAAGTCTACCAAGTAGTCTCAAGATTTCTAATCTATATGGTCTCTTTGTCAAATCAACGTCCGTGAGATGCACACTTAGGTGCAAACTACAATCACAATGTGCTAAGAAAACATACCTTAATGATCTCTCTCTCTCTCTCTCTTTTTCAAATCTAATCATCTGTCGTCTTAGATTATTTTGTTATGTGTTAAACTTGGTTATTAGTTAGGAACAATTTGTTTGCTCTGTTTATTCAAACCATATGGAGATATTGTTGTAAGTAAGCTCTTCCTTATTGATTGAAAAAGCATGCAAATTTTAGCTTTTGAAATTTGGTTGCATGGGAAATCTTGTGGCAGCAAAAATTGTTGAAAAAATTGGAGTCTTTTTTGCTTGTTGCAACTTTGTCCATGAAACATTTATTGTGCATAGTTGGATTATGACTTTGTAGCCCATTGTATTTATTGTGGGTGGTTGGTCTTTGGCTATAAAAGACATTTGGCCATTTGGCAAACTCACCAATAGTTTTCTCTTAAAGCAGAGTGAGCTCAAGAAAATACAAGAGAGTTAAGAATGCTTTGAGTGAGGGTGAGCAAGAGTAAAGTGGTTGAAATTCTTTGCTTAGTGATTTTGAGTATGTCTTGCATTTGAAAACATTGAGTAATATCTGGGTGTATTTAGGAATTGAGTATTTGTGAGAGTACCACAAATTATATCTTCTTATTTAATAGTGAATTTTTCTTGTGAGTGCCTATAAATATAGACTCGATTAATTAGAACTGAACCATGTAAATTTTGTCTTCGTTATGGTGGTGAAATTTTTTTTTATTCCATTAATTTTTTAATCTTGTAGTGAATTAACCAAAATCTCAAGCTGTTTGCTTCAATAGAGTATTAATACAAGAATCAAAATTTCTTCAATTATGCCAAAAAAAAAAAAAAAAGAAACTTCAATTGAGTTTTACATCATAATTACAAATTAGGACCAAGTTTTATTCAATAACATTTTCATCCTTGCAAGATATTCCATCATCTTTGTTAGACTGAGAAGACCCTTTCAAAGATACAATTACAAAAGCTTTGTAGTGGCTTATTTTTAGATTATGCTGCTACTCCATTTATATTTTTGAAAGAACTCTTCATCTTTACAATACTTACAAGACAACTTGTAAATCTCAAAAAATAATTTTGGAAATTTGTTGGAAAAATAATCATCCAATGCTTCAGGGAGTGGTCCCAATAATTCTCGCGTTGCTTGAGAAAGTTGAGCATAATAGATGAACATGTTCTTTATTAGTCGCAACAAGTCAGCACCAGTGTCAAACTTAGAACTGCCAGTACCAGTACCAATGCTATTGAGGGATGTGTGGAAGGATAGTTACTCTTAGTAGGATTCCAAAGTTGAATATCATCATCCAAAATGGATTGATTTTTATCACTGATTAAGTGTTCCAAGCTACAAGTAGCCTGATGCATTATGATGGTAATTGAATATAAATCAAACATGATGCAAAAGTAGCAAACAACATTGTGGTGTGGTTCGTCCATAAGAGTTGTAATCTCTTTCCCAAGCAAATCATGCTGTGATGCGTACAATGCTCAATGGCTGTTGAACGTTAAACGGCCATGAAAACTTCCCTCCACTAGAGAAGAACAGTATCCAGTAGCTATTATTTTATAATTAAGACATATCAACTTATCATTCCATTGTCTAGAATCTCTCCCAATCGACGGTGGAAATCTTCCCTCTTCGATCCACTATCTAGTTTCTTCGTCTCTAGATTCTTTCGATCTCATCCTCTAAAAAAAATCTCCCTTTTCGATCAACTATTCTTTTTCTTTGATCCACTTGCTAGACTCTCTCTCTTCAATCCTCTGTACAGATTCTTCCTCTTTGATTCTCTGTCTAGATTCTTCCTTTTCGATTCTCGATCTAGATTCTTCTTCTTCTTCTTCCCCGTCTAACTCATCCTTCATCTCCTTCTTGTCTTACCCATCCTCTACCGTTTCCTCATCGTTTGAAAGATCGAGCTGCTGCTTTTGCTGTTTGTGACGACGGAGAAGGATGAAGCCAACAGCCGCGACGAACAAAGGGGCAACAACAGCAACAAGGAATGGGAGGAAAGATCCTCCTTCAACTTGAGACATCCATATCGATGGAATCAGGCCCGTAACGGTTTCCAATCTACAGAAATCATCCATTATTTAGGACTTTAGTTTATATATGAGCAAAGAAAACCTCTACATTTTGATTTCAGATTGGCATGGGATTACGTTACCTTTTTCAATTCTACTTCTAGTTCTAGTTTAGTACTTTCGAGTCCGTTCAGATGTTTCACTCGTTTTGCAAAACTCTCTCTAAGCCCCTAAACTATTTATATTTTTTCACATAAGTCTCTCAACTTTTTCAATAGAAGTAAGTCCATCCACTTTTTAGGAAAATTAGTTTAAAGTTAAATGGCATATGCAAGTAGGGATGACAATTTATCATGACTCGTGATACCTAGGAGGATTCCCATCGCTAGGACATAGAAATTTGAGGAATATTCTTCTTCACGGGTAAGGACGAAGCCAATTTTTTCATCACTTTGTAAGTTTTAGGGGGTGAAATTCATTTACACATCATTTACATGAAATTTCAATAACTCATCTTTCCACTATAAATTATTGAAATTTATTTACTTTCACTATGACAAATTTGCCATTTATCTACGCTTTTTTTTACTTGCGCTTAAAATTTTGTAGGTATAAATCTTTATTAGTTACAGTTTATAATTTGTAAGTATATTTATACTTACACACATAAAAAAACTGTAGGAAAAAGAAAACTATAGCTACACAATTTGCTTGGTGTAGGTACAACAGAGCGTTATTAGTTACAATTTACAATTTGTAGTTATATGGTTTTAAGATATACCTATGCCCATAAAATCCATCTAGGAAAAGGAGGAATATACTTACACAATTTTATTTGATGTAGGTATACAAAAAATATATACTTTCAATCACATACAATTATAGATATAACAACAATTTATATCTATAATTTTTCAAAAATAATAATAATAAATTCTTTGTAAGAAAATATATCAATAATTAACTATCATTTTGGGATGGCCTACGGAGTAAAACTTTTTTATGGGCATAAGACTTAGCCAGAAGCCCAAAAGGACTTAAAAAAAAAAAAAAAATTGTTCCAAAGAATGAAAACCTAAAAAAGGGTCATTGGGCGTTTCATTAGGAATTGGATTGTTTCACGCCTTCCTCCATTAAATTAATTAAATAATATAAAATTTCCTCACTTCTCTCAATTGCACTTCTCTCCTTCGACAAATCTCCTTCTCTCTTTCCTTTATTGGAGCCTATTACCATCCGATCTCATCGCCGCCGGAGCTCATCAATGATGGAAAAGCGCTAGATGTTGTTGACACACCTCTCTTCTCCAATTTATATTACTTTTAACAAGAACTTGTGGTTTCTAAATATTATTTTTAGAAATAATTATAATTGTTGCAAAATATAACTTTTGGTAACAATTTATGGTGTTGTTAAATAATACTTTTGGCAACAACAAATAGTAAAGTGAAAAGGTAATAACGTAACTAATATTTTGTTATTGTCATTAGTATTTACCTATGGCTCATAAGCATAGGTATTTCTCTTTACCTATCGAATTTTAGATTGGGCATAGGTTCATTAAACCTTTACCTACAAAATGTAAAAGTGTAAGAATATGATCAAAAGTGTACTTAGATATCTATAGTTACATGACATATACTTACACTTTTTTAACTGTAAGTATAAGTCTTCAGAGGCATATACCTACGGATTTTTATCATATATCTACGATTTTTGTCTGTCGCTAAATGACAAAAATGCTGTAGTGTTTTTATTTTATTTTTTCAAGATAATTGTCTTTTTAACTTAGAAAGTTGTGATAAATTTTAACCGTTCATAATGAAGAGATGAGTGATTGAGATTTGTGTAAGTAATATCCGTAAAAGTTATAAATAAATGAATCCTAACTTTACATATATACACAAAATCTTGATAATTTATCTTTCCACTATAAATAGTTAAAATTTGTTTTCACCTTTCATCCTATTTTCTAAATATAATTGTTTTCTTTATCCAAAAAGTCATGATAAATCTTCACCATTTATAGAAGAGATGATGAATAGTCAAAATTTTATATAAATAATGTTTGAAAGATTATATGAAAATAAATTCTAACTCTCATATATATACATATATATAGGGTTAGTGTAGGACAAGCCGTTCT